TCAAGATCGCTACTGCTATTCCATCGGAAATAGTATTTTTGCCTTATAAAGCTTGGTTTTTCTGACTGCATAAGAAAAGCGCGTAACTAAATCTTTCTCCGAAGCAGTAAACCTTAAAAAGAAAGTCAAAAAAGCTAAAAAAGGCTTAAATATATTTCAATCTACAAGAAGCAAAGTAATAAAGAAATAATAAAAAATTATATATAAGCTTATATAATAAAATAATGAATTTTGCCATCATTACCCATAGAGTATAATATCCGGTATAAAGTTAGGATTAGATTTAGAAACATGTGTGGTTATACACAGTGGCTCTCGATATAACAGACCATCGATATAACGGATATTGCTTAATACGGAGAATTATAATGAAACCAAATTATGATTTACTATAATATCTAATATATCATAATATTTTATATTACGGAGCTTTTGATATAACGGAGCAAAGGACTGGAACCATGACCTCCGTTATATCGAGAGCCACTGTATGTAAAATTAATTGTTAACCAATTTTACTTAAGATATTGTCTGGTGCAAAAATGTAAATACGCAAAAACTAAAAATTGTTGTCTACTTGAAAATTTTTTAAATTTTAATTTATTTATAATTTTTTTATGCTAAGTAAAGTAGATTCTGAGCTATTTTTTGATATATTTTTTATAACCTTTATATAGTCATTTTGTTTAATAAAATTTTTTTTTAAATTTCAATTTTTTCAAAAAAAAATTAATTTTTTAAAAAAATTTTTTATTCAACAAAATAACTATATCAAGATTATAAAAAATATACTTTATTTAGCATAAAAAATCGTAAATAAATTGTTAAAATTTAAAAAAATCTTTATAAGTAAACAATTAATTTTTAGTTTTCGTGTATTCGTTTTTGCACCAGGCAATCAATACCTACATATAATTTTCTTAAATGATTTTTGATTTTTTTTTTTTTTTATACCTGGTATCATACCCATTGGATACAAATAGTAATTCTCAAGAATTTAACTAATTCACCTTCAGCTAAAATTATATAAAATTAAAATTAGAATCAAGATTAGGTTTAAGATTAGGGTTAAAGCTAAAACAAGTTTTTTTTTTAGATGCTAAACATTTTTACTTAATGCACCAAACATGATTATTTAGTCTAGTTTTCAAGATAGCATAAGAGGTGGTTATATAACCAGGGGGAAATTAGCAACACCCTAAAATACTGTAGGGAGGAAACGTGAGAAATGTGGGATTGCGCGTAAAAAAAAAACCATTTTACGCGTTAATCCTGTAATCATGAAGGTTCTATCACATGATGCACAATAAAACAAGCTGTAGATCATTCGAGATAAAATTAATAAGCTAAAAAATTAATAAGCACTCGTACGTATATAACTCGAGAATTTTTAGATCTTTTTTTTTTTAAAAAAAAATGCCACTACCCAGATCGCGGAAAGATATTGGTCTCGGAAAAGCCATTATTAGGGATAGATTTAAAGGAAATTCCAGACCCAAAGATGGCGATACAGTTCTGGTAATTTTTTTTTTTAGTAATGAAATATCATTTTTCTTTATGAGGATCTAATTTCTTCACATTAACTGAAGCATACAACAGATTTAGATGACGGAGCTAAATGGACCAAATTACAATCAGTAACTCAACAAAGTGACTTGGACGAATTTTTAACTACAGCTCAGTTAGCGGGAACTCAGTTTACTGCTGGTAAAAATTTGTATATTTTATATAGAATGTTGCACCTGAATTTTAACGTAATTTATGTGATCGGGAAGAGCAGAATTAGTTTCTTTGCAAATATTGACAAATATTTATTTCAATAATACTATTTGATTTTAAATTCAAGATTATATTCATTTATCTTAGAAAAAATGAACATCAAAATAATTACAAACACCTATCAGAATCCCTTCCTTCTTAGTGCTGATAAAGAAAGAGAAACATTGGCAAGACATGAAGCTAATAAAGAAAGATTAGTAATACCCAGGAGGTGATATCCGTTAATCAATTTTAGTTACTGTTGTCATTGTGAATATAATAATTTTTTTAAATTATTTTTATTTATTTATTTATTTTTTTGTATATTGATAAGACCAAAATGGGATAAAACCACTACGCCTGAACAGCTTGAACGGAATGAGAGGGATGCGTTCTTGCGATGGAGGCGCGATCTTGC